GGGTTTTAAAAAGAAATGCAGCGAGCACAAAGGCGCAGCCCGGCCAGGCGGGTCACTTTGCAGCGAGTCCCCCTTTCCCGAGATCAAAAGGAAGCAAACAAGCGAAAGCCCTCGTGGAATAAGGCGCTTGGCTGCGGGGCTTTGCGGGGGGGGGGGGGTTTTGTTTTGTTTTGTTTTGTTTTGAAGGCTGGTCGCGGAGCTGCGCGGCTCTCTCGGGCGAGCTGGGACAACACTTGGAAGAGCGCTTCCCTGCTAAGCAGGGGGGAAAACCACCGTCCAGCCGAAGGTGGGGCCTGGGCCAGAGAGCCCGTCTAAAATGCCAGCTGACCTTCAGGAGCAAGGAGGCGACGTACGAGCACGCTTGGATTACAAAATACACCGCTGGAAGCCAGGGTGCGCCTCCCTTGCGTGCCCCTGGGCTCCATTCAAGTTTGAAACTACCCCCCCCCCCAACTCCTCCTCCAAGAAAACATTTCAACCCTAACGCCCGAGGTTTGTGGCCTCTGCTCGCGCCGGGCTCTGCAGCCTCTTGCCCGCACTGCGGAGCCGAAGTCACCTTTCCCCTCCTTACCTGAACAGCGCTCTCACCTTGGAGCTGCCATGCCCTACGGTACAAAGCTATCTGCCAGGCCGAGGCGTCCCGCGCTCCCTGCCCCCTCCGAGCCAGCCCCGCGCGTCCGGCTGCTCCCGCGAGCGGGGGGCGAGGGCGCGCCGCATCCCGCCGCCGCTCCTGGGACCCGGCCGCCCGGCTCTTACCGGCCAGCTTGGAGGAAGGAGCTTGCAAGTCTCCACATATTTTGCACAAAGCCGGAGTGAAACAGAAACTAAAAACAACAACAACAACAACAACAAAGTGGGGCATTTGACACACTCGGCTGGGCGCCTAAATCCCCTAGTGCGGCAAAGCTCCGCCGGGCAGCGCAGCAGGGGCTGGCAGCAGGACTCTGCCGGGGGAGGGGGGACGCCCGGGCTGGGAGCGCGGAAGCCAAACTCAGACAAACTCCGGTCAAAGCGGACGGGCAGGGGGAAGGTCCCGCGGAGGAGCAGAGTCCGCCGCAAGCCGGGGGGCTGCCAGTCCGGGGCAGATCCCAGGCAAAGAGCAGTCAAGAAAGGCGCCCCCCACCCGCAAAACCCCTCCTGGCCCCCCCCCCCCCCCCCCCCCGCCCGCACCCCCC